CAAAATCGGAGAATTGGGTCCGGCGATGAAATTAGTGGAACCGCTTTGGGTTTCGCCGTCGTTGTCGTCCTCCCAGTTCTCCTCGGAGCAATACAGAGCGTCAATGGCATAGGGCACCATCTTCTTCCGAGAAGAAGAGGTTTAGACTGTGGTTCATTATAGGGCGTAATAGAAAATAGGGGAGACTGGGGAGGAAGAAGAAGAAGAAGAAGACCAATCCTCGGCCATGGCTGTACGGTGTCGTTTTCTCTATCTCTAAGGCGGAGCTTTTATTGGTAGGTTTAGGAGATGGGACAAGGACAAGCATTAGATGACACGTGACGGATGTACGTTGTGTGATTGGTCCACTCCCGATGATCCTCTACAGCCAGGTGTATTTGAGTGTTCGTGGAATCTAAAATCTGAGTCCTCTGATCATGAAAATATGGGAATTATTATTATTTTATTATTTTTGATATTATTATTAAATGATGCGTAATAATATGGGAATTATTAATTGTAGAGACTGGAAGTGGCCCGGGAAGAAGCACTCACACACGGTTCGATACAATGTGAAAATGAACAGAACCAAAAACAAAGCAAAAAAGGCAAAAGAATTCAGCTTTCTCAGCCTCTCCACTCCCCAAATCCAATTTCACAAAATCGCCTTTTTTTTTTTTTAATATGTAAAAGAAATTTATTTAATAATAAATGTTATTAATCAGAAATCTCATAAGAAAAAATAAATTCAACAAAAAAGAAAAATTAGCTGGCATTCGCATGCATGCTATTGCTAGTCTTTTCTTTTACCCATTTTCTCGCTGAATTCGAGTTCCTCTCTTTCCCTTCTTGTCTTTTTAAGTACAATATCATTGAAATTCAAACTTCAACCTCCTGAAACAAAAAGTTATATTACGTTTTAAATTTTAACCTAATTATGCCTCGATTCACTTAGTATATTTTATCCATTGAATTACGTCTAGGGATTCAAATTTATTCTTTATATTATTGTTTAGGCATTATTCATTGTATTATCATTTATTATTCTTTCACGAGAGCTTCTAATATATACGAATTTTGCTTCTTCATTATGGTTTAGGTAACTTTTACGTATATGTTGAGTAGGTCGTTAAGACTTTGAGTTTTCTTTATATATATATTTACTTACTCAAGTATCAATTTTTAGTTTAATAATTATGGGGTTGTCACAAGAACTTCACTTTTAATATCTAAAATAAGGTAATTTATGTTTTATCTATTAAGCTATGATTAGATTATCCTCAAATTCTACATTTAGATAAAAGTTGATTGTGAATTAATTATTTACAATAATATGAATACAACTATATAATCAATGTATTAAAGAAAACTTATATAATTATATTAAATGTCAATGGTATAATAAATAAATGGATTAATTATATCTAATACTTGTATTGATTAGAAAGTAAACGCATTCCAAATATAGGTGATTACATGGATGTTTAGCCATTACTGTTAGGATTATCTACCTTCAAATGATACTTTTGTACCGACATTTTTAAAAACAATGAAACGTTAATTAACATTTCATATGTCAATTTGAGCTTGGCTCAATTTCGACATATTCTCAATCGAAAGGTCGAACTTGAATCCTTACCTTTACATATTATTGTATTTATAACAACAACAAAAAAAATTAGCACCTCAATTAATAATAACTTTAATTTTGATTTCTTATTTTCAAAATTACCTGAATCATATCAAACTTTGAAAATAAACATTTTAAAAAATAGATGGACTAAAATCAAACGGAAATGGTATTAAATATTATTTTATTTTTGACTGAGAACAAAAGAAAACAAGAGAGGGAGAGAATCGAAGGTCCACTAGTTTTATTTACAGCACTCACCCACCTAACCTCGACAAAATCAAAAAAGTAAAGATCCACAAAATTCAAAGAAAAGAAAAGAAAAAAGTCACCTCTTATATTTGTCAGCTGGTATAGCTCATAGAGGTCGTCTTTTCCCTTTAGATTCTCGAAGATGGCGTCCAAATTTTATAGCAACAAACCCAATCCCAAACCCTTTGGACTATAACTTACAACAATAAGACACCTATTTTTGGTAAAACAACTTCATATTATATTATACATCTCCTTCTCCACAAAAACAAAACCAAAACAAATTGATCATCTTATCGTAGGGCTGCAGCACAGCAGACAGCAACTGTGTTTCTATTCCGTAGCCTAGCCCTGGTAATGGTATTGACAATGGAGAATTAATTAAGCAGCTTTGGAGGGACTTAGAAATTAAAGTTTGGATTTTTATTTTTGTTTTGTGTATCGTAGCTACCAGAGAGGTGTCTAGGCTATAAGGCTAAGCGTGGGAGTTCACTGTTTGCAGTGGGTAATTCAAGAATGTTGCTTTAATGTACCAAAAGTTGGTTTCATTTTTCTCTCAACGCAGTGGTGTTCATTAAGTCGGAGGAAGCAATAGCACTCAGACAGACGACTGTTTTGTGGTTCAGGGTTTTCTGATCGTCATCAGAAACAACATTTTGGTTGCTTTTTTAGAATTGATTTTCTCGTTCATGCAGTGTGAGGCATTAAATTGGAAAATGGGAGATTTTGAAAGTGGGGGCTTGCGTTGTAAGTAATTAAACTGAGACGTTGCTTTCTTTTCTTTTTTTGTTTCTCTCTCTTTTTCGTAGGCTCAATCTCCGAGATGGTGAGAGAGAAAGAAGAGGGTGTGTATAATGGTGGCGTTGAGAGGACAAAAAGGCAAAGGCAGACAAATCAACGAAGGAAAGCAAGGGAATAAGATACCAATTCTTGCTTCGTTTTAGATTATATATAACAAAGAGTTATCAACATACCAAATAGTTTTGACATATTTGTAAATATGTCTAGTAGTGATAGAGATATATGTTGATGAAGATTTTCAACTTTTCAAACGTTTTTTTATTTTTTTTTATTTGGGTTTGGCTTAAAATTGTGTCATGTTTGCAAATTTGGTATTGTATAGGTCCAAGAAACCCACACACAAGGGACTGTTTTTGCATAGTGGAATTTAATTAGGAGTTATTTTCTTTTTACTTTTCTCTTTCCTTATTATTTGGTGGTGGTGTGGTGGTGGTGGGTTACTTTTTTGAACTTTAAAATTAATCTCCCTCGCATTTGTGAAGTGACATGAGTCGTCCTTGTTCATTTTTTGTGGTCAAAGTCAGAGAATGGCAGCCACAGCCACAGGCATAGTATGTCTCTCCAATTCTTTCTTGTATTCCCATCACGCCAACTTTTATTCAAAATGCAAAACTCTTTACTCCAATAAACTTTACATTTTATTTTAACTTCAAATCTTATTTTACTTTTAACTACTTTTATTTGTCTGTCTAACTCAACCAATATACTTTCAAGACATGTATTTTAGTTCATTTTCTTCTAAAAGTTATCTACTTCATATTTTCCAAAGCTTAATACAATTTTTATACCTAAAAAAAATGTTTCAAAAGAATTGTGAGAGACAATTTAAAGTTTTAATTTTGTATCTAATAAATTCATGTCGTCAACTCTATCGATTTAACCCTTTGTGTATTAGGTGGACTATGTGGCCACGTTATGTTTCAGATGTTATATATTTGGGGTGGGCTTGTTCATTTGTCAACGAGTGAAAAAGACTAAATCCACTTCATTCCTTTAACGCATTCATCATTGTCTAAATTCGTCCAAAAATCATCAAAATAAACATAACTCAAAAGTAATTGACATATATCTCCAATCAAAAGGTCGTGAGTTCGATTTTCTTCCCGTATTATACTAAAAAAATAGTATAAAAGTAAAATTAGAGCAATACTAATTGAAGATCAGGGGTAAAACTGGAAGGTGGGAGGAGGATGTTGTTTCATCCCAGCTGTGGGCTGGAATCGGCCCCACGCGGCGGATACACCAATTTAAAGAGGTGTCAGTGTTTCTGCTTCGTCTCTGGGAATTTTATACTTTCAATAACCCTTTTTTTCTGAGCAAACTGTGTCAATTGTTTTCAGTTTCTGGCTAAACTCTACATAACACAGTTTCATAATTATCATTTATATCTCATATGATTTGTTTTTTCTAAAATTCTGCACTTCCATCTTCCCAAAAAAGGAACAATAATTCTCAAATACCACCTTGTTTAAAGTTTCTGCTGCATTCAAACACGCTTCTATGAAAAACAAAAAAAGTATTTCAACTCTTGGTTGAATTAAATTTAATCATATGGCATGTGATATACGGGAACGCTCTCATTTTGGTATAAAAAAATATATTGAAGTGAACATTGCAATATGGTTACCACTAACTCACATAGTTAAATACATAATTGAAGAATAATATTCTTATCTTCCTCTCTGCATGCTTAGAACGAAGCAAATGATTTTAGAAACAAATCCATTTAAAGTTGTCACAGGACCAAAATTCTTAATAAGAAAAAGGGTTTGATGAGATTGATGATCGGTTGTTCATAAGTTGGTCGTGGTACCAAAAATCTGAGATGGAATGATGATGAGAAATGAGTCGAAAACCAATTGCTTTCCCTTCCACACAATTAATCATATCAAAACCAGAAGAGAACCAAACGTACAACCCATCAGTACATGCTCATGATGCCCAGTTGAACTTGAGCTGAAACTGAAACACACCAGACTGCACATTACAACCTTTTCTTCCACCTTAAACTTCCATGCCAAGCCCAACCCCAACCCCAAACCCTGCCCTTCCCTTTTTTTCTTCTTTCTTTGAAGGAAAATAATATGCATTTACTTCAATAAACCAGAAGATTTGCAGCAGCTGAAAATCTAAAATCCTCCGCCTGGGAAGGTGGGGCCAACAAACAAAACAAGGCAGAAGAAATAGAAGCAGCTTTTGTAAGGCTATGATGGCTATGAACGTGGCAAAGAGAAAACAAAGTAAAACTACTGACTAGAAAAAGAACGTTAGAAATGTGATCTCCATCATATATCTGAATCTAGATTTCAGATCAGTATAATAGGAAAGGAAAGAAGGAAGATGACAGAAAAGAGTTTTCCTTTCACGTACTATTATTGATATGTAATTTGACTTTTTTTTTATGGTGAACTTTGTTTCAAAAGAACTTGAACTTGAAACTAGCCACTTTTGGCTAAAATGTACCTGCACGACGAAAATCCTCTATATAGTTGCTTGGCCAAAATGCCAAGTCCAGTGATCTAGTTTCTATCATCTTCCTGTAAATGTGTGTGTGGCATTCACGATAAACGGATGAGAAATTTACCAAGATGGCAAATGATCATTTTAACTGTAGTAATTGAATTGGAACTATAATTTAATGCGAAGTACATTCCACCTCCTTCCCCTTTACAACCCCATAAACAGGGGGGAAGGCAGGCAGGTGGAGATCTCAGCAAAAGCCTAATGAATGTGCCATCATATTCCAAAATAAAAGAATTCTCAAATTCTTGCAGAAAACTGATTATCTGATCATGCCCGGTAATAAGCTAAAGACTAAGCTTGAGAAAATGTCACAGGCAGAGGAGAGAGTCCCAAACCTTTCCTTTCAAGACAGTTGACTGTTGTTCACCTTTACTAAATATATACAAGCTTAATCTCTGATACGGCAAAGCCACAACTGCAAGTCTTCATCCTCTACTCTGCTTTCTTCTCTTTCTTTACATCCTTCTTCTGGTATAGAATTATCTGACTCAAAATGGTACCATTTGTTGCAATAGAAAGGGCAGATCCCAAGAGTACTTTTACAAGATTTAAGGAACACGGTTTGTCAAAATGCATTAACAACTAAGAAAAGAACATCAACAATTACATTTAGAAAAAAAAGAACAAAAAAACATGAGCCCATAGGAATGTCAAATTCATGCATTAATGTTTGCAGATTAAAGTTTTCAAAATGCTTGCCTAGGCAATATTAGATTTAATTTATGCATCTTTACAAACAGAAAAATGCAATATTCAATTTCACTCATCAAGGTCATAATTGTTCGAGTAATGTAACCACAGGGTACAAGCAAAATGAAGGTTGCTGATAAAATCAGAAGTCATAGGTTAAAAATTTAACACTGGAAAAGCCCAAAATTTCATGCATTTTGCAAAATTATTTTTTTGGAGAACTAATTTACGTCTTAAAAATCTGATTCCTAAAAATTGTTATAAACCTTCCTACAATATATCGTATGCTTGCAGTAGTATGAGCCAATAAGACTGATTCTTGAATCCAGATTCCATATTAAATGCTACACTGAAACTACTGCCAAAAAAAATTTAGAGCAAATAACAAGGATACCACTTCTTGGTGCTTTTTCTTGGATGCTGGTGAAAACCCTCACTGTAAAGGAAAAATGAAACAAACTTTAACATCTTCACGAGAAAACTTATGCAACTGACTAAATTTCATTATGCAATCATCTTACCCATAGCACCTCCAAAGTTCATAAAGGATGTTAAAAAGCTAAGCTCCCCAGTACTTTTGTTCTGTGCAGAGAAGATTATTTTTTGAATGAGAAATTTCAATAAAAAAATATATATCAAAATAAAATACAATTAAGACAAGGTATCAAGCCAAAGAAAAGATTATTTATAAACAATACCGGTAAAATACCTCAATGCATTTCAACACCAAAAGGGTAAAGACACAGATAGGTGGCAGGAAAAAGAAGACTAGATGGCAACAAAGTTATAATCTATATTATCGCCATTTCCAGAAGATGTATAAGTTTCTTAAATCTTAGCAGTTCTCAAACAAGGGAAAGGCAGACTCTCACTTGAACTGACATTTGTTAAAATGACAATAGCTGGTTGTGTGATTACGAGGTTCAGTTTCAAATCACTGGCCCAGTCTTTCCATTTGAAATTGGACAAATGATGACAAATGTAAGGATCGTCCAATATCATTTAACCTTTTTTTTTTTCTCTTAATCTCTCTATTCCCTTGTTATCAAAGGGGATGTGGTAAAGGAGCTTGGAGAAAAATCAATATCATATAGAACTTACTTGATCAATTGATTCCATGAGGTGAGTTGACATTCAATTTCTACAAGCAACACCTTTGGGAGTACTAATATTTTGTAGAGAAGACAAGATTATAAATTAGAAAGGTCATTGGATATCCAAAAGATTATAATGAAAGCAACTAGCTCTAATAAGAGACAAAGGAAAATGCACTCCTCGTCCTAGAATGAAAAATGGATATGAGTTACATTCTTGAAATATGCGTTTAAAAAAAAGTACATTGACCTAGAGTTTTGAGTCCTGGCCGTTAGGCGTGCAAACAAAGTCTCACATTAGTAAAGAAAATGGGAGATCCATGGTATATAAGTAAGGATGATTAACCAATGGAGATAATTGTCCTCAAACCAATTATCTCCATTAGTTTTTAGAGAAACCAAAAGCAAAACTACGAGAGTTTATGCCCAAAGTGGATAACATCATATCATTTTGAAGATATATAGAGGTCTAAAACCTAGCTGTGTTGGTGAAATCTTCAGAGTCTGAACAAAAATTGGTGAGCCTTATAGTCCTACGAAATTGTGGATGAATCACCAAATCAAACAAAAAGTGCTCATGGTGGCGAGCGAGCAAAGATCTATGGAGTTGGCTATCGCCATTTATACAAAGATTAAGGGTAGCTCTAGCCTCTATCAAGTTAGGTAGACTAATATAAAGGGTACATCTTCGTTTGAGGGGAGGTTAAGGGTGCATAGTGATCAACACCAGGTATATGCCACAAAGTAATATGTGTGTTTGTGCTCTATCTAAGTATCCAGTTGGTCTTGGATACGAGCAAGTCTCATTGTCAATCAAAAGTGGGTGGATGAATGACTATGAGGGAAGACTCGCGTGGTACTTTGTTCGAAGATTGTTAGGAGTGTAAACAAAGTCCCACGTGGAAAGAGGAGATCCATAGTATATGAGTAAGAACAATTATCTTCATTGATATAAAGCATTTTGAGTGAAACAAAAAAGATGAGGGCTCATACGATTATGGAGATATATGGGGTCCGTTATCCTTAACAGTTGCAATTTTTTAAAAGCAAGAATAATTTACCAATATAATATTAATTAAAAAAAATTGAAATTGTACAATAAGATCTTCAAATAAACTTACAGAAAAGTTCTTCCATATTTGTGGGATCCTCGAGAAGAGAAAAATTGCATGTTGAGATGCCTGAAAGGTAGTTTCCAAATTGGTAAAGTTTAAGTATAGAGCTATTTATAGGAGAAAAACCTAAGTAAACGTAAATTTAAGTCTTCAATTTTTCTTCATTTATGTAACTTATTTGAGGAGGATTAGAAAAATTAGTGATAGACGGTAAAGAAGCTAAAGAAAATTTTACAAGAAAGCTTAAAATATAGATTAAGTGATGATCTTAATAAAACAGCATGAGACTTACATATAGAGCTTCAAATAGAACAGGATTGATTTGACCAGCTAAAACTGTTGGTGCTACAGCACAATATCTGAATAACCACCGTGTTAAGGCAGCAAGTTACAAGTTTCTCATTATTTAAATAATGCGACTAAAAACAAGCACAATCTGAACTAGTCCAAAACAAATAGGATACAGTAGTGCCCTCATCCACGTTGTCATACCAATAGGCTGAGAGTAATAGTAGATAACGGCAACCAAAATTATAGCTGTGGCAAAAAAAAAAAAAGAGAGAGACAAAAAAATGCCAATCATTTATGGCAAAAAACATCCATTTATTTCAGTAAAAAAAATTCAAGCAAGTATATAACATGGTTCTGGATATGCAACCTGGCACGATGGGAAAATCAAAACTAAGAGTTGGATTATCTAATTCAATCAATTCCATTTTGTTCCATTATCATGAAAAACCTGATTTAATACAGACTAACGGATCTATTTCAGTGATATATTTTAACTTGCATTACATAGAACCAACAGTAACAGAATGGTGTAGGGAATGGGAAGAGCTAGTAATTCAATATTTGATTCAGAAGCAAAAAAGTTATCCTTTGGGTAATAACTAAAAGCAAGTTAAGTATAGGTCTGCGGCCAGGAAGATATCTATTAACCAACCTTAACAAAAGACAACTAGAAATTAGAATACGAACTATTAACCTGAATGACCTATGCTATAACACTGCTTGACATGGTGTAGTAGGAGTAGCTTGTATCAATTGAAGTGTAGGTTCGAAGAAAATTTTTACTGTCTTCTCGTAGACCAAGGGCGTCCGGTGTTTGCGTAAAATACAACTGTATTCATATTTTTATCAATCAACTCACCACCCATAGACTTATCACAATTATGTATAGGACGTCAGATGACATTGATAGACTAACATTTATAGTAGTATGCTGTAATTCATCATCTCAGCCAGCAACCCACTCAATTCACAACCTTAAATTAAGTTGAGAATAATAATAATACCATTATAATCATCAAAACCACTTTATTTCTTCCCAATTTGACCAATTTATGTTTCAACTTTTATCAGTAATGTATTTTATAAATGATATTCCCCAGAAAAAAGGTCACAGTGCCAGCAATTTTCAGTAGTTTCCAATATACCTTGAACCAAGAGAAATGCCAGTTCCCCATAAGCTGAAAATGGAAGTCCTTTGTGGACACAATATGCCAGAGCAATGGTGTAACCTACGACTTCTAGCTCAAAGGATATAACACTAAGTCCTCTGACACTCTGATGCTTCAAGATCTTCAATATCTGCAGAAAGAAATCTTGCTTTACAATGATGACATGATGTTAAATATCCACAACGAAATGGAATAAGGGGCCACTTTCTCATCGCAGAATGCATATTAAAGACGAGTAAAAAAATTATTCAGGCGGAAACGCTGAACTGGAAGCCAAAAATTAACAAACAAACAATTTGAGTCAAAAGGGAGGGCGGGGATCTTCCAAGGTTATTGACATAAGTTCAAGAAAACAATTTAGTACCAAGTTAGACTCAGAGCGTGTTGCGATTCTAAGCTACAGGCTGCAAAGCTTTAAATTACTGCCTAATAAGGTGACCAATGTTCGTTTATTACTATATTGATGCAACCTAAAGCAACTTCTGATAAACTCCCACTTAATACAACATAAACTTTGTTCACAAAGATTCTAAGAGTCTTAAATTGCTTCGCACAAAATAGAGGTCAAGCCGAAACTCGAGAACACAACCCAGAAGAACATTGATTACGGATGGTAGGCATCAAAGAAATGGATCCCATCACATTTCCCTCGATAAATTCGAACAAATCGACTCGGCGAAAGGAGGGGAAGAGTAGAGCTTGCCTGAGGAAGTTTGACGGTGGTCGAAGCGGCTATAATGCAATAGCCGAGGAGCTTGGAGATAAGAGGTAGCAAACAGTCTTTCTCCGGGAACTTGCCGTGGCTTAGAGATCCGTAAACACAGCTGAAATCCATTCCAAAAAACTCCATTTCTGCCCGCGTTCTTGAGATCACAGTGCTGAACGAAGGCAGACGATAACAACTAACTACACGATCCTTCACTAACGATGACTTTCTCACCGAATCAATCCGCTACTGTTCTTCTCGGAGCCCAAATTTAGGCTACGGCCGGAATGTCGTCGATCTGATGATGGGCTTCGTGTCCAAAATTTCTGGGCCATCTGCACAACATCATCCGGGGCCCAAGCTTTTTCCTCTCTTACGAAATTTGTAACAACCATATTTGTAACTTCCGAGATATCCCGGATTTTACGTGATTCCAACTCAAATTTTCTAGTCAATACTCGAATGTTAATCTTTTTATTTCCAATTTTTAAGTTAATCTGATAATAGATCAGCTTTAGATAATATGATTAGGAGTAATCTTGAATTGGGTTGGATTTCTGTTGAAGTACTTTTTATACTCGATAATTTTAATCAATCTAAATAATTATTGTTAAATAATGGAAAATAAATAAATAAGATGTTGATATCTTAAATATTTATTTACTTATTTTAGGTAAATAATACTTGAAAGAAGTGCATAATAAAATAAAATTAAAAATTAAAATAAATACATTCATATACAATACAATTTTTTGTAGTAAGTAAAATAATGATTTTAAAATACAAAAATATATGTTGGTCTAGGCAAATTCAAATTTATTTTAGGTTGAACTTTTAAATCAACTCAAACTATAGAGTATTTATTTATTTGAATCTAATTCAGCCAAAAAAGTTTATAATTCAATTAAAATCGTATAGGTTGGATTCTCAACTCATCGATAAGACTTTTATTATCCCTCCAATCATTGGATTCCTAGCCTACAATTGAATTTAAAAGAAAAAAAACGTCATTTAAAGAAACTGTGAACAATATATTATAATTTTTTAGGTATGGAAAGTTTAATTTGATATGATTGGTATTTTAAAATTGAATTTAATGAAGTAATGTGACGACAGCTCACCTCTTTTATCTCAAGGGGAAAAAAACATATTCTCTTACCTTTTTTTTTTTCTTTTTTCCTTTTTTTTTTAAATACATATTCTCTTACTCTAGACCCTACCGTTTTGTATACTTACTCCGTGTTGTTAAGAGAGTTTTTGATTAGTTCGGTGGGTTGTTATGAAATTGAGCTGGTTTTTTCTTTTTTCTTTTTTTTCTTTTAAGGTTAAAAGACTAAAAAGAAAGCATTAAAATTAAAATCGAGTCAATTAGAAGAAAAAAAATCCCTAAATCATAAAGTGAGGTAGTTATGTAAGTTCATTTGATTGTATTTAGCAGAGATATATGAATCTCTATTTTACTTTTGATCACGGTTAATGAAATCGACACATCCTTTTCATGATCGATTTCTATGTTTACTTTAATAGTATGGTTTAATATCTAATTTTATTTTCATGGGTAAGGTTTTACTTAATTATGCCAATGTAATCATAATCAACAATCAAGATATCTACTATTTTTTAAGATTATGAGTTGAAATTTTGTCTCTATCTTTATTGTACTAAAAAATCTACTGTATTGTCACTATCTAAAAAACTTCCATATAAATAAAAATGATTAATTCATATTCACCTTGTCCTATACAAATTAAACATATTTTTAAAATGTTGATTTTGGTCCAGGTACTTTCAACGCTTGTCTATTTTAATTCATAACTTTCAAAAGGTTACTTTTAATAAACAAAAAAATGTTACTTTTAACAAACAAAAAAAGGCTTGTTTGATTTATTTATTTTCTTCATTTTTTTCATTACAATTTCAACATAACACTATATTCATTAAATTTTTTAATGTAGTCAATAAGTTTTATATTAAATAGTTTACATTGTATATAAATGTTATGTTAAAAGTTCATAAACAATGACCAAAATGGTCGCTTTCTAAAAATTAAAAATTAAAACTAGAAGTACACTAATTAAAATAGTATTTAAAAAGATAATATATTAAGCACAATTATATCGAAATGAGTTTAGCTAAGCTGTAAATGTATATACTCTTCCCTTGATCATACTAAATTTGATTATTTATGGTTTTTCAATGCTGAAAATAGTAGTTATTAAAAATCATTCAATTTTCTTTTTTCTCGAAAAGAATGGCGAATATTTTAAAATACTCTAAAAATTAATAAAAACAAAACAAAACAAAGAAAAACTACTAGTTAAAATAATACATTTAAATTTATTAAACAATAAACTAATAATATAAAAAGATGATCGATTTTTCTTTTCGGTCGTCTTAACTGTCATTTTTTACGAAAAGATTAATTTTACTAATAAACAAATAAAAAGAATGACTCTTCTCAAAAGAAGAAAAAATGTAAATAAATAAAATAGAAATAGAAATAGAAATAATGACAAAGAGCACATGTTGTTTATAATTACACCTTTATAAATAAAAGTTGTATGGAAACTACAAATATGCTCTGCTGTGGTCTGTAACCAAAAGTAGGAAAGCGTAAAAGAAGTAATAGAAAACTTATTACGTGGTCATTTTATATTAATTTATGGATAGACTTTACTTTAACCTTTTACGTGGTCATTTTATATATTATTTTAGTTATGTTTTATTTGAGTAATATGAGCATATTTCAAATGATTAAGGTCTGTATCTTCGATTAATGATAAATATTTAAAACCTTATTTCTACACGTGGTTAAATTAAACTAAAAAATGTGGATTAGGAGTGTGCTACATTAAGAACCGTGTTGGTTTGTGCATTTTGTAATATTTAAAGGCTTAATTGCGACAATCCCTATAGTTCAGGGGTGATTTTTGTAATTTCTCTTTATTTATAAATCCGCACCTAAGGCTAGTTACAGTCGGGTCCCAATTGAAACAAGCATGGTTTAAGTGGCCAAAATATTATTCACCTTTCTAACCCTTCCATTTGAAATCGATAAAGTTCAAAAAATGATTTCAAATCCTATAATTTGATATCCGAGAAAATTTTAAATTATCTATCTTGTTAAGAATGAAAAATAATTGAAATTAACACAATCAAATTTTGCTATTGGGTTGTTTGTTGGAAAGGAAAATAAACTAACTATTATAGACTTTTAATCTTAAATGGTCAAATCTCATCGGTTCAAAATTATGTGAGATTTAATCATTCTATTCCAAGTTATAACAAACAATGAAATTCATTTAAAATTTGTCGGGATTCAAAATCATTAAAAAATTATTGATAAGCCAATATAGTTGAAAGTTTAAAGAATAATATTTAAGTATTGATTGGTCAGTAGTACGAAGGTGAGATTCTCCCCCGTTCAAGAAAAAAAAATCTTCCACTTCACTCATTTGGTTGAGCTGAAAAACACAGAGTAGAGCCATAGCGAACGGAACGCAAAGCAATGAAAGGAAATTAAAAGCAAATGCTGCTCGTATTTGGAATCAAATAGCCATGTGAAATTATCCAGCCCCACCATCCATTTGGAAAGTGACTCTTCACTCTTCCACACAATTATTGGCGTTAAACAACTATTTTCTTTGACAAGTAATGTTAAAAAAATAACTTCTTATTTAATTAAATTAAAAGTCTTCTTTTCTTTTAAATATTATAAATATGTTTCAACCTTAAATTTTAATAAAGATAATAGATACTTTATCTATGTTCGAATTTGCGAAGAATAGTACCTGTTGAGACTTATATTAAACTAGTGATTTTGAAAAAAAGATATTTAAGTATAATTGATTTTCCAAAATAATTATCTAATTGATACGTTAAAAATCAATTTAAAGTGATTTTAAACTTTGATAAAATTATTATTTTTTATTTACCAAACATGATTAATGAAAAGAGAGTGATTCTGACAACTAATAAAATGATTTTTGCTATATCAAAATTACTCACAAAAGAGAAACTTGACATAGCCACATAAAAGTGATTATTTTCTTTTCTTTTTTATTTATTTATTTTCTTTACAATATCACCACGTAAAAGTACTAATAAAATGAAAAGTATACCGAACAAAAGAAAGACAAAATAAAATAAATAATATTTAAAGATATGTGTCAGGCGTGAGGACTTTTTTCGGTTAAACAATATTCCTAGCTTCTATGCTTTAATAGAAATTTTAATTTTCTCAATATATATAAATTTTAATTTTTTCTATACTTTTAAAAGTTTGATTATCGTCTCTTTTCCTTTTTAATTTAAATTTAGAATATTTTTATATCTATTAATATTCATGGGTTCTATATCAAAACCAATTGACAATGAAAAGTCCTATTTTTGCAAACGAATAAGACGGTGCGGATTCCGATGTATTAGATTTCTATGATATTGAGTCTACCTTTTCTTTTTTCTTGTATATGACCTCTTGTACAGTCTTTTTTCAYGCATTCAAACTAACCGATTGAATCTTGATTGAAATCCTGGCGATTATACCAAACCGTTCTTCCAGCGAAGTGGTGTAATTAGAGCCTTCTTCGGCACCAAGACCCTTTAGAGATAGGGGCAAGGCACAAGAGGATGTACTGGGCCAACCATGACCCTTTTCGAGCAGCTCTTTCAACTGCCGCCTAATCTCCTCATTGACCAATGTCGACGTCCTGTAACGCCGTTGGGCAAGACTGCTCCCTGTGTGAGTTCAATCGAGTGTGCTCCAAGCTGCGACTGATGTTTATTATAAATCTATGTAAGGTCTCTTCTTTTATCAATATGAGATCCTTAACAATATTAATGATAAAGTAATAAAAATGTACTAAAAAATTATAAGTAATAAAAATACAACATATTAAATATAGTCTATCAATGGTTCATCTTCGAGATCACGACGGTACGAGATAAAAGAGGAATTTTTATTTTTACCTCTATATTTGCCCCATAATCTTGAACTTTCCATTTCATAAAATTGATTCACAAATTTGAATTAGAGTTAAAATCAATACTTTTAATTAGTTATTTGGTGAGCTGATAATAATACTTTTATATATTTATTCTTTTCGTTTTATTAGATATTATCTAGTTAGTTTCAAGCATTTCACTATCTTGTTTGAATGATTGAAGTTGTAATTAGATTGGAGTATTTTTCAGGATTGAATTTGAAATTGTATGTAGTTTAACTTTGAAAATTTTGTCGGTTAGTTTTTCTATTTTATTTATTTTGTAAAAACTATTACAATATTAATTTGAGAATGTATTAATTTTACCATTTATTTAAATTTAAAGTCATATTTTGCTAAAAGTTTAAAATAAATTTGACTATTAACATTAGTGGTAAAATATAAAGCACAGAAAGGAGTTCGGTAGAGGATTTTTTTAATGTAAAAATATCTCTTTTAGATTTGAGGAGCAATAATTGAAGGAGGCCTTGGGAGTGGGGTTTTGGACTTTTGCGGAAACTTGCCTTTATTCGATAACAATGAGCTTTTATCATAAACTAAAAAAAGGAAAAAAAATACAAAGGATGCCATTTTGTATTTCTATTTGCCCCATAATTAAATACTAGATTTTCAAACATCTAAAAAGGAAAATACTGCATTTTTAAAGACTGGTTATGTGTCAGACATGTCTCCCATCGAATGAAAAATACTTATTTAACTCACTGTTATTTTGTGTGATGTCAAGTATTTCTAACCGTTAAAAATTTTAATAAATTAATTTTTTTAATAAAATACGGGGGTGAAAATCAGACTTACTACTTATTAGTTGGAGATATATGTCAATTACATTGAGATATGTTCGTTTTGACAGTAAATTAATTATTTTTTATTAAATAAACTAATAATATATATTATACCAAATAAAATGCATAAGAAACTATGCCTAAATAATTATGGTGCTAATTGAATAACTTAATATTGTAAAAAATATTTTCAAATATTAAAATAAGACATTTGATTTAAATCTTAAAACACCAATGTATGAACGTGATTTAGAAGTATTTTTCAAAAATTTGGGAGGAAACAACAACGTAGGGGTACGAATAAAAGACTCTTGTTCTGATATTATTTTAACAATGAATAAACCACCACTCAACTAAAAGTTTAAGTTGATGAGTTGGATAAATTTAATTCATTTATATGGATTCTAACAAATGTTTTTAAATAAAAAATTTATTAGTATTTAATCAAAATATTTTACATTAGCTAGACATTTATCCTCTACATTTTTGTCACACTTATCCGTTGTTTATTCTCTAGATTAAAAAAAAAGTGTCACTATTCACAATTTGACATGTAATTTTCTTCATTTATTTATTTGTCTACACACTCTCACTATTCTCTTTAGACTTTATCTCTCTAATTTCTTTTTACGAGTACTTCTATTATTAATCTTCCATGTGTATGTGAACATATTTTCCTTCATCAATTCCTCTCACATCCTGCTATCTTCTTGAACTAGGATAATTTTAACTTTAATGTTAATGATCCTATAATCATAAATTTATTGGATCAAATTAAGATTAGATGGTTAAAGATGAAAAATTTATATGAAACAAAAGAGAGAGTGAGCATAACAAAATGTGGTGTGTACGTTTAAAGCATTAGTAGAGAGCGTTAAAGAAAGAGCACTCGCAAGGTTGCGCTGCGCCGGATGGGCCATATTGCACTCTGCTGTTTTCCTATCGGCCCCCATTACAATTACAAAGTCGAGTTAATGGAGCCTAAAGAAATTAAAAAGCAAAAGCTGGTCGGATTTGGGGAATAAAAGTCTAACCACATCTTGACCCACCAATCCTCCCTTTTTTTTTTTTTTTTCTAATTCTCGAAAATGGTTGGTAGAAGAAAGGAATTTGTTGGAAATTTTTTATGTAGATTCCACTATAATTATAATTACTATAAAATACTGGTTTGGTTTCGCTTCTATATTCATTTTCGTTCATGTATTTTTAAAATATTCATTTTAACTTTAATTTATTTTAGTTTTTTTATTTTTAAAATATTTATTTTGATCTCTTAATTTTATTTTTTTAATCACAATTTCAACATAACACTTATACTCAATATTTTTTTAAATGTAACTATTATTTATTCTAAAAGATTTTTGTTATACGTAAATTTTGTGTTAAAAATTTACAAATAAGGATTAAAATAATCATTTTTTAAAAGTACAAGAACAAAAATGAACATTTTAAAAGTACATGGACTAAAATGAACAAAAACTAAAAATACAGAGACTAAAATAGTTTTTTTAACCATTTGATTGATAATTTTAACCCTTTAATTATGAAGATTACAAACCCCTAATTTAATATTTATGATCTTTCTTACTATTTAAGTCTATCTAATAATTGGTTAGACTCCACAATCATATCTTTTATTATATCATCAACCAACGGTATAAGATCACTGTAGGATTTCTTAACATTTTATCAATATTTCCATTGACATTTTTATAAAATAGAGACATGAAACATTTCTATATCGACATCAATAATTAAAATTTTAGTGGATCAATTATATGTTTGATAAGTAAGAGATGTGGGATTTTTTCCTATTTAAAAATGATAAATAGTTTTCAAATTTTATAGAAGTAGTTATGGCAAGAAAATTCCTAGTAACACTCAAAATGCAAGTATTATTATAAAAATATTTAAGAGCAGACAACGACGAAACTTTAGTTGCCTCAACCTAAAACCCACATAGAAATTATTTAAAAGAAATAAAAAGCCACTTGGCACAAAATAATTGAATAAAGTAGAACAAATACTACTCTGATTCATCGTAGCGAAAATAATATTTTTTTATAATAATTGGTACATCAGGAAAGTCATGAATTTTTACAAAATTAACAAACATGTTTATTATTATAAATGGCGTTACCCTGAGGTTCCGGTTTCACCCGCACCTGTCTCTGGTTCCCAAATATGTGTCCCAAAATCTTGACCATCCTTCTCATTTTAGCGTCGTCGTTTCTCCTGCATGGGTTCGCCCAAAAAACCGGGCTTCCTCCTCCGCCCAACCCCACCATCCGGCGGGTTCCTCCTCCGCCCAACCCCACCATCCGGCGGATCCGGCCAAGACCGTCGCTGATTCCGCCGGGCGTCAAGCTGATGCCCCGCCGCCCAAACAGCAACCCGGGACCTCTGGCCAACCGGGCCAGGATCCT